TTTTTTAAAGTGAGGTATGAAAAAAAAAAATTATTTTTAAAAGGGAGTGACAAAGAAAGAAGAAAAATTTAGAAAAAATAACAAAAATAAGACAAGAGAAAGAGAAAGGAAAGGAAAGACAGAAAGGAAGATCGGAAGATCAAACTCATTAATGCAAAGTAAGGGTTTATATAAAAAACAAAAAACGTATCATAACAAAACAATAAACAATCATGTGATCTCATGTTACACAGTGAAATTCGATAAACCGGATCTGTCGGATCCACTAAAAATATCCGGTTTATCGGGATATCCGGTTTAGCGAAAAAATTTCGATATCTATTATACAGAATTTTTAAAAAATTTTCATGCTAATAAAATTAATATACATTATAATTAAATTTTTCATCTTAGTTTTAAGTCATAGAGGTCATGAAAATGAATATAAAATATTTTAATTAAATATATAAGTAATACAAAACTTCAGCCGGAATTAAGATTTTTATAATTCCGGCCAAAATTAAGATTTACCGCATCACGTTACTTAAATTTTATTGGTTAATGATCATGTGATCCAGTTTATCGAATCATTTTTCACTATAGCTGGTTAGAAAATTGATCCGTAATAGCGAATATCGAGCTTTTACTAGTAAACTCCGGTAGTATATCGAACCTATTTTAATATACGTGATTTGGTTCCAGCAAAAAAGTCCGGTTTAGGCCCAAATCCGGTTTATCGAAGATCTGGTTTATCGAATTTCACTGTGTATGATACAGGATTTTTGTAAAATTATCTTCTAAAAATATTAAGTTTAAAAATTCTGTATACATTCCGCATGATTAATTTTTTCCGTATACATTTCTTATACATTAGTTTTTTTAAAAAATGTTCAAAAATGAATTGCTTATTAAATATATGGAATTTGTATACGGAATCTATAGAAACGTACAAAAAATGTATACAAAACATATCCTTTCCATATACATATTTCTTATAGGGTTGATGAAGACTAATTTCTACCATTTTATATAAAACAATTGAATATGAATTTTACTTGTCATAATTATGTAATTTGGGGAGTGGCTATTTCAAGCATTCCTTGCCTGTACAGGTATTACGATCAATTGAAGTAAATATGAAGTAAACATAAGGAAATATATATACAATCAATTAGGAAATATTACATTTTTAGCTAATAAAATTTTTCTCCGACCCACTGAGTTAATAATATTTCCTAAATATCAAGTAAATATAATTAATTTACATTTTAGGAGAAAAAAATTTGGTACAGGTACAAATTTAAACAAATACTTTGACTGAATAATAAAATCTGCTCGCTTTTGCATTATTTATTTTAAGTATTTGTTTTAATGCAAGTTAGTTTATTACATATTATATTTATCATATACATAATATATAATTTATTGATTAATATACTAAATAAAATAAAGGTTGTGTTTATGAAATTAATAATTCTAATTTATGATGTAAAATTATACAAAATAATATTAAATTCAGTAAAATGTCCATTCAGAATATCAAGGTTCATGATATTGGAATTTGGGATAAAATAATTCAGGATAAAATAATTCGGGAAATTGGCATTCGGTAAAATGGAATTTCAGGAAATGATCAATTTCTGGAAATAGGCATTCAGAAAATTGGATTCAGGAAAAGGTATATCCAGGAAATTGGTATTCAGGAAATGGTCCAACAAGGCTAGCAAAGTCACACTCTAGCTTACCAATCAGTTTGCGCCTTTTTGCAAGGTTGATAAAACAGTAACAGGTACTAGTATACTATTTTGAACCTAGGCGTGCTATTTTATATACATTTATAATGCCCTATGAGTATGGCTACCTTTAAGTTTGGTTAGTTAACCAAAATGTGATTGGGATTTGTTGTGTCAAAAGTGAAAATTTTTTTTACAAATAGGAAGCAAAAAAAGAATTATTTCAGAGCGAATAACAATCAAGATGACAAATTTATTTTCTTGAGGTTACAAGTATAAATTAGTACATTGGGATTATGCTATGGCCAGACAAATGTGCGTTTTACTTCAAATTTTTTACACAATGTACCTTGGCATCAACATATGGTTACACCACGATTTCCCGACAACCTTTTTTCCGACATACCCTTTGCCCGACAACGATCACCCGACAAGACATATTCCCGAATGTATATTTTACCGACATGACACATTCCCTAATGGACATTATACTGACATGTTAGTTCTCCCGACATGACATTATTCCGATAACACATTTCCCGACAGACATTTTCTCGACATGACATATACATTAAAAAAAGCGATTTCCTGAATTTCCCAATTATTTAAAATAAAACATATGGAGAAAATTTTTTTATTTGTTTATTCATATATTTATTTTAGTAAAAATTCGCAATTTCATGTACACTTTATATTTCATTTTTATAGTGCAAATTTTTAATAAAATATCTTGCAGCAACCCGTTGTGTCCCTACAAAAATTTATTTTAGTTGCATTTATTTATTTCCAGTTATTTTTTTAACAACTTTTTAAAAAAGAATTTGCCATAAGACAATTGTCTTATTAAATATATCCATGTCTTATAAAGTACAACGGTTTAAGAAACCTTTTTTAAAAAAAAAATTGTTATAAAATAGTTATTTTTTTAAAAAAAATGATAATAAATTAAAAATAAATTTAGATAAAAAAGTAAATTAAAACGGTTTTAAAAAATTATTAAAAAAAATGAAATAATTATTAAATAAATATAAATATATATATATATAAACCATGCTGGTCGTGAAAAATCACATTGAAAAAAAAAGGAAAATAAAGAACTGTTAATAACAGTTATTTATATTTATATTTATAAACATGATACATTATAATAAATTACTTTTTGTAAATCATCTCAACATGTCGGGAAATTTCTGTTGGGATATGTGTTGTCGGGATAATGTCATGTCGGGAAAACTAACATGTAGGTATAATGTCTATTAGGGAATGTGTCATGTCGGTAAAATATACATTCGGGAATATGTCTTGTCGGGTAATCATTGTTGGGCAAAGGGTATGTCGGGAAAAAGGTTGTCGGGAAGTTGTCCGACATTGCAACATATATAGATTTTTCTTCTTAATTTTATTAATGTTTCTTTATCTTATTCTCCTTTAATTTTTTTCTTTGTATATTTATGGCTAGCCTAACGATTTTGACATTCGGTAATGTAGCAGTAAGAATTCTGAATATTCGTCTGCCGAAGTCGCTTTTAGATTTTTGGCCCCAAACAAAATAAACAAAATGAAATTTATGATTGTTGTCCATTACAAATTGATAATGAGCGACGTAGTTTTTCTATTGTTAGCTATCTTTTCTTACGAAGGTGAATTCCTTATGGGTGTGTGCTTTTAACTCACTTTGGTTAAGTATTGTTTTACCATGTATTTTATACTTCTGGTTTACTCCCTATATGGAGTGAGCCATAGTACTATCATCTTTCTATAATAAAATAAAAATAAAAAAATAAAAATAAGGATTACTGATTTCAATGGACTGACAATTTTGTTAACGGCCAAACATCAAAATTATACAGACTATAATTAAGATTTATTATTACTAATAAGTCTTTAATTTAGAATTATTAGATTATTCACCGAGATGCTATACTTTCTATATAAATAACTAACATAAGCATAATAGGAAATATTTCATGTAATTAAATAATTTTCATATTTAAAACTCCCATAAAGTATAATTAAGAACAATTTTTGGTTTATTTAAATAATAAAAATTTTTTTTTTTATATAGAACATTTAAAAATTCAAAAAATATGGCATTTTTATTTATTTTCCAATTGAAGATAATAATTTGATTAATAAACTTTATAATAGTACAAAATACAAATCATTAAAATATATTCAAACAAAAGAACCTGGCAAAACTTTCAATTTTATATCGTTTATAATATGATATAGAAAAAACAAAAATAAAACATAAGAATTATTTTTAATGGATTGAAATTTAATTATTATTAAGGATTAACATAAAACATTATTTGGATATGTCAAACTGTAATAAATGTTAAGATGTTAAATTATTATTGATGATAATTCGGGAAATTGCCATATAGAAACTGCGAAAGATTTATTTTTATTTTAAAAATTTTTTATTAATGATTGCATATTTAGGATTATGTACTTTTTTTTGGTAAGAACACGCATTTATGTTTATAATATTCAAGCATTTAAAAAAACATCTAAACCCGATTAAATAAAGAAGATCATTATGGTGATACCATGCTTGATAAATTAGGCTAATCTTTAGGCTAATCTTGTTTAAACTGGTACGCCGATTCAGGCTAGTTATAAATATACAAGATTTCGGAGAAATTCATACCGATGCGTAATTAACATTTTTCACTCGATATTAAAAGAAAAAATGGATTTTCCAAAATATGATGGAAATATTCACCCAAATGAATGGATAAATGATATAAAAAGATATTTTAAACTTAAGAATACTAAAATTAGTGATCGTTTGAGCATTGCTATTTCGCTTGTAGAGCCTATTATTTCACTTCCATCAGAGATTGGTAGTCTTGATAAACTTTGTAATGTACTTAAAGAAGATATTTCATTCACAGTATTTAAAAATACAAATGAAAGAATGTTGCAATCATTAAAATATGTCCCTGAAAATAAAGGTGGTAATACTTCAAAATTTATTTCAAAATTTAGGAAGCTATGTTATAATGCAGAAATTAATGATATAGAAGAACAAAAAAAATATCTTTATAAGTCACTTCCGATGAATCATTTTGATTCTATTTCAATTGAATTTTACAAGAAAATGAAAAATGTTGTTTCAACCAATAAATTAATTAAAGAATTTGAAGATTTTGCTATATATTTGTCAAATTTAATTGTAAATGAGTCTATTGTAGCTTTGAAACATGTTGCTACGGGAAAATATTTAAGTTCAGAAAATTTTTATTACAAAACTGGAAGTAAGTCTCAATTGGTAAGTTCCATAATTTGATTATTTATTTTTCTTTTATTTTTCATGATAATATAAATAAAATATTTAATGAAATTTTTATGAGTTAGGTTTTTGTGGGGAGTACAGAGCCTGTTTCAAATTCTTTATGGAGAATTAAATCTAATAAAGAATTAAATGAATTAATTAGTTACACTGATACATTTATAACTTTACAACATGATAAATCTAAAAAGTTTCTTGGAATAAATTATGGAAAGTCTTATTACAATCATAACGATCGTAGCTTTTATTATAAAAGTTTTTATCATACGTCTCCATCAAATAATCACTCAGAAGGTTAAAATTTAATATTTTTTGTTTATTTTATTTATTTAATATAATTATTAATCAACGTTTATTGTTTCAGTGAGCTGTATTAATACTTCAAATCATGGATATTGTGTTAAGGATTGGGAGTTTAACCATGCTAAAGTAGGAAATCATCAGGAATTTATAAAATCAAATGATATCATTAATCTCAGCATTAAGAAAGTGCATGATAATAATGGTAATACAACTACAAACGGACAGGTTGAATTTTTACGTAGTATCCATGATGTTCGATTTACTATTGAAAATGATGCTTTCCAAGAAGTTCATTGTCACAATGAGAAATTAGGAGGAAATGATGAGGTAAGTAAATTATAATAATAAATTGCTATTAGTAATTGATTTATTATTTAAAGTCTTGTATTAATACTTAACCTTTTTTTATAGTGGTGTATTGAGCTTATTAAACAATATAATTGGATCTAAGACTAAGTGTTATTAATCAAATTTTTGTTTGTTAAAGAAATTAGATTTTATCAAATATGAATTTTTTATCTTTGGAAACTTTTGGTTTTTAAAATTTATAATTCAACTCAAAATAAATTTCAATTATATTGAGTCTATCAAATTTCAAATAAAAGCCAATCTTTTATTCATTAAATTAAAAAATTCAATTCTATTTTTTTAACTTAAAACAGTCATCATTTGTTAATATTTAAAGCCTATTACTCACACTTAATTTGTATTTTTTTTAATAGAAAGTTGAAATGTTTCAATAGTCTATTGTATATAAATACCAAAGTTGCAATTACTTTATTTTTTAGGCAGTCCGCTGGTGCCAGGTGGAAGAAAAATTTCAATCAACTAATCTCCAGAAAAGTCATGTACCAAATAGCATCATCCCCTAGAACTTGATTACAAATTATGAAATTTCTTTTATTTATTATTGATTTTTTATTTTTTATTTTTTATTTTATTCCGGCGTTACTCTGTGTCGACAACATGAATTTCCCAAAAGGATAAAGTATTCAAGAACCGAAGTTTTGGAAATGTGTGAGAAGAGGAAGTGATTCGATCCGTCGTCCTGCTCTAGACCCTTGCAAATTAAAGGTAATAAATTATCTACTGCCATAATTGTATATTCCCTTATAAGTATTTTGGTTTTTCTTATTTCTAAAGATTTCACTCACTTTATTGTAGTTACCATCAATTTTTTAACAAAAAAAGATAAATATGATGGAATAATCATCCAGACGAATGACGAATTGATGAAAGGTCTTAAAAACTACACATAACAAATACTATATGGATCTTGTAGATTTTCACCATTAATTTTTCGGAACCAATTGGCGATATTAAAAAAACTTTATGATGCACAAGTGAAAAAATGTTACAATCATTGGAATATAATCCTGAAAGTAAAGGTGACAATACATCAAAACTTACTTAAATTTTCGTAAATTATGTTAAAGTAAACATAGAAAAACAAAAGAAATATTTTTATAAATCACTTCTTACATAATATTATGCTTTACAAGAAATGAAGGAACTGAATTCAATTAACGAATAATAAAAGTTTTGGAAATATTGTTTCAGAAGAATCAAAGTTAATTGAAAATTTATGTTACAAGATTGGAAGTAATTCTTAATTGGTATGTTACGCAATTTGTTGATTTATCAGATAGCTTAAAATTATTTAATTAAATTTCTACATAAATTAAAAATAGTTCTTTATGGAAAATTAAATTTAATAATAAAAACATTAACCACTTGCACTAATACTTTCTAACTTTACAACATGCCTAATCCAGAACACGGTCGTGAATATTATCATCACAAATCTCCAATGACTAATCTCGTAGGAGCTATTAAATTAAATATTTTATTTACTCTAATAATTAATTAATATTTATTGCTTTAGTAGGTTGTGTTACAGATTGGAAATTTAATAATAGTAAATTAGAAAACTCGGGATTTTTTAAAATCATATGATATTATTAATCTTAGCGTAAATCGCCAGAATGAATTTTTACAGTACGTACATGATTTCCATTGAAGACGATCCTTTTCAAGAAGTTATTTGCCATGACAAAATACCAAGAGAAAATTTTGAAGTATTTTTTTTTTTAGTGATTATTGAACTTATTATGGAGGAAACTTATTATGGATACAAAGTTCTGCAATTAAAGTAAAAGTACTGTATTGATTTGAAGAATTATTATAAATAAAGTGTTCTTGTTTGTTATATTGATAAATATCCCATTTTTGGGCTTCATTTAAATATAAAATATTGTTTTAATTTTTTATAAAGTAATTGTGACGATTTTCTTTTGTCAACGATTAAATATAAATGTATATACCGGGATAGGAATCCCAGCTAAAATTATAAAACACAATATTTTCAAAAGAGAAGCGGAAAAACTAAAATTTTATTTTAATTTTCAGGAATTTACGATATAAATGAACAAAGGTTATTAAATTCCAAAGGATAATGAATTTTATAATAATACAACTCGTTCATTATATTTAACAACTTATCAGATATGAAAAAGATTATTCTTTTAATGTGTTGCGATAATACTGTATTACCAGTTTATGATAAATGGTTAAGATATTAAATTATTAACGATGATACTTTTGGAAATCATAATAAAAGAAACAGATTACAGCTGATTTCAAAAAGGTCGGGACACTTAGCAAATTTTAAAGAACTCGGAAATATTCGGTAAAGCTTGAAAAGTTATACGCTAATTTTGGAGTAACATTCCGAGAATGATGGTATAATTTTATCTTATTTTGAGCTTTACCGAATATTTCCAAAATTTGCTAAGCGTCCTGTGCATTATGAAATTAGCTGTAAGTTTTATATATTAGTTCATATTTAGATTATGCAAATAACTAGCATGTGAAATACGTTTTGTAATACAGGAGTCTGAGCCTGATTAAGCAAGAAAATCAATATCATGGTGATACCATAATTAGCAAATTAATCTAAATCTTGTTTAAAACTGGTATACTGATTTATGTATAAATATTCAAAATTTCGGGAAAATTATTGCCGAGGTGTAATTAACGCTTTTTTCCCAGATTAAAAGAAAAAATGGATTTTCCAAAATATAATGGAAATATTCACCCAAATGAATGGATAAATGATATTCAAAGATATTTTACACTAAAAAATGATAATTTGCATACTAATCGACGTTTGAGCATTGCTATATCGTTTGTAGATCCTATTATTTCAATTCCAGATGATGTCAATAGTTTTGAAAAATTATGTAGTGTACTTAAAGAAGATATTTCATTTACAGTATTTAAAAATACAAATGAAAGAATGTTGCAATCATTAAAATATGTTCCTGAAAATAAAGGTGGGAATACTTCAGAATTTATTTCAAAATTTAGGAAGCTATGTTATAACGCTGAAATTAATGATATTGAGGAACAAAAGAAGTATCTTTATAATTCACTTCCGCTGCTAATAAATCATTTTGATTCTATATCAATTGAATTTTACAAAAGAATGGAAAATGTTGATTCAATCAATAAATTAATTAAAGAATTTGAAGATTTTGTTGTATATTTATCAAAATTAATCGTGAACGAATCTATCGTAGCTTTAAAACATGTTTCTACAGGAAAATATTTAGGTTCAATTAACAATTTATGTTATGATACTGGAAGTTCTACTCAATTGGTATATTTTTTTTATTTTATTAGAATTGTCATTTTTACAAACCTAATTTCTTTTTAAATAATTCAGGTTTTTGTAGATAATTCAAAATTTGGTCCAAATTCTTTATGGAAAATTAGATTTAATAATAGTAATGAATTGGCTACTTATGGAAGTACTCGCATAACTTTACGATATGACAAATCAGATAAGTTTCTTGGAATATATTATGGATATTACAAATCTCCGTCAACTAATCACACTGAAGGTAATTATTTAATATTTTTGATTATACTGTTAATTACTATAATAATTAATTAACAGTGGTTATTTCAGTGAGTTGCAATAATATGTCCAATTATTATTGGGTTAAGGATTGGGAGTTTAACCATGCTAAAGTAGGAAATTATCAAGGCTTTTTAAAATCGAATGATATTATCAATCTACGTATTAAGAAATCCTATGATTTTAATGGTAATCTTATTCCAAACGGACAAGTTGTATATTTACGTAGTCATGATATTCAGTTTAATGTTGGAAACGATACTTTTCAAGAAGTTGTTTGTCATAATGAAAGATTGGGAGGGAATGATGAAGTAAGTAAATTATAATTAATTTTGTAAATTATTACTAATGAATTGATATAATTTTATTGTTTAAAATCTTGTATTTCATTAATATTAAACTTTCTTTTTTTCTAGTGGTGTATTGAGCTTATTAAACAATACGCTTGGACCTTAGTATAAACTAAAATGTATTAATTGACTTTTTATTGTCAGTTGTCGTTAACAAGTTGATTCTTACTAATCGAGAATATGCCTCGTATTCCAAAAAAATAAAAAAAAAAAATATTTGGATTTTTGAAATTAAAATTTACCTTAATTGTTGTACACATTTTACATTCAATAAATTGAAATAAAAACTTAATTTACGAATAGATAAGTTATACAGCCAATTTAAGTTTTTTTAAGTGTCTTTCAGCGCGAACCGACTCCATTTTCGTATCACAAGATAATTTGAAAAAATAAGTGATATAATGAAAAACACCGAATGTTAACTAATCAGAAAAAGTATCAAAAACAGGAAAAGCAAGTTCATGGACGTAAATCTTAGCGTAAAACCGATATTTTCATTATCTTCACGTGTCAAATTTCTCATGATGATATTGGATCATCAGGAAAATATTTAAAATAAGATGCAATTAAGCCATCAAATTAATAAAGAATTTTCCGAAATATGGTGAAAATATTCATCCAAATGAATGGATAAAAATCTTCAAAAATACGACTATTTTTAGCGTATTAAATATGATGTATCATGTTTAGAAATGGCTACAATTCCACCCTTAATATCCAAGCTAATTCAATTTACGATATCGAAAAACTCCGTAACTTGCTTAAAGAATATATTTTATTTCTTTTACGATTTTAAACGTATTATATTAAGCATATTATTTACAAATCTTTCAATAATAAAATGTCCCGAAAATAAAAGTGATAATACTTCAAAATTTATTTCAGAATTTGGGAAACTTTGTGATAATGCGAAATTAATGGTATAGAAGAGCAAAAAAATAGTATATCTTTATAAATCACTTCCATTTTCTTGTAAAATTTCATTGATTAGAAGATATTGATTCAGTTAATAAATTAATTAAAGAATTTGAAGAATTCATTATTTATGGGTCACTGTAGCATTAAAACATGCTGCTACAGGAAATTATTTAAGTTAAATAGCAAATTTACGAAATTCTCAATTAATATAATTTATTTAATTAAACTTTTGTATAATTTAAAAAAATTTGGGTTTTTGTAGGAAGTTCAGACATGATCCAAATTCTTTATAGAAAATTCAGTTTAATGAAGAACTAGCTACTTAAACTGATACTTCTATAACTATATAACATGTCAAATCCGACACATATATTCTTATCGGAGTTATTCTAAACATACGTAAGCAAGGTAACAAAAATTTAAATTACGTGGCAGAAATGAAAACAAATTGGAACTTCAAACACAGTAAACTAGAAATCATCAAGGATATTTAAATCAAATGATATTTATTAATCTATCTTAGTATTAAGAAAAAGTATAATAATTATTGGTTATTCTAATTTTGAATGGTCAAGTTGATTTTTACGTAGTCATGAAATTTAATTTACTATTGGAAATGATACTTTTCAAAGTTATTTGTCATAACGAAAGATTGGGTGGAAATGATGAAGTAAGTAAATTAAAATTAGTAAATTGCTATTACTAGTAAATTGTTTATTTTATCGTTTAAAACATTTTATTAATATTAATCTTTTTAGTGGTGTATTGCTTGAGCTTATTAAACATTATATTTTGATCGTAGATTAGATTATGATTAGTTCTTTATAGAGATTTGTAATTTAAATTTATTTCAACATTATTCATATTTTTAAATTTCATTGTTAATTCATTGATTTAAAGTTTCGTTTAAATGAAGAATTTTGGCTATCAGTACATCACATGATAATTATACATTATTATTTCTCGTATTACAACATAAAAATAACATAAATAAAATAGCGACCAATAAGAAAAAAAAGATTTGTTGGGCGTAAACTTTGGCGCAATAATAAGATAAACATTTCTAAATTCGGCAAGTACTAAGACGGGGGATCATAATATAAATTTGAATTTCGGGAATATTTAGACCGAAGTGTAATTTTCTAAAAAAAAATGGATTTTCCAAAATATGATGGAAATATTCACCCAAATGAATGGATAAATGATATAAAAAGATATTTTAAACTTAAGAATACTAATATTAATGATCGTTTGGGCATTGCTATATCGTTTGTAGATCCTATTATTTCACTTCCAGCAAAGTTTGATAGTCTTGATAAACTTTGTAATGTACTCAAAGAAGATATTTCATTTACAGTATTTAAAAATACAAATGAGAGAATGTTACAATCATTAAAATATGTCCCTGAAAATAAAGGTGGCAATACTTCAAAATTTATTTCAAAATTTAGGAAGCTATGTTATAATGCAGAAATTAATGATATAGAAGAACAAAAGAAGTATCTTTACAATTCACTTCCGCTGCCAATAAATCATTTTGATTCTATATCAATTGAATTTTACAAGAAAATGGAAAATGTCGATTCAATCAATAAATTAATTAAAGAATTTGAAGATTTTGCTGTATATTTATCAAAATTAATCACGAACGAATCTATCGTAGTTTTAAAACATGTTGCTACAGGAAAATATTTAAGTTCAAATGCAAATTTATGTTATAATACTGGAAGTTCTACTCAATTGGTATATATATATATTTTTGATTTTATTAGATTCGTCATTTTTACAAACCTAATCTTTTTTCTTATTTTTAAATAATTCAGGTTTCTGTAGAAAATTCAAAATTTGGTCCAAATTCTTTATGGAAAATTAGATTTAATAATAATGAATTGGCTACTTATGGAAGTACTCACGTAACTTTACAACATGTCAAATCAATTATGTTACTTGGAATAAATTCCGGACTTTACCAATCTCCGTCAACTAATCACACTGAAGGTAAACTATTTAATATTTTTGATTATATTGTTAATTACTATAATAATTAATTAACAGTGGTTATTTCAGTGAGTTGCAATAATATGTCCAATTATTATTGGGTTAAGGATTGGGAGTTTAACCATGCTAAAGTAGGAAATTATCAAGGCTTTTTAAAATCGAATGATATTATCAATCTACGTATTAAGAAATTCTATGATATTAATGGTAATCCTATTCCAAACGGACAAGTTGAATATTTACGTAGTCATGATATTCAGTTTAATGTTGGAAACGATACTTTTCAAGAAGTTGTTTGTCATAATGAAAGATTAGGAGGGAATGATGAAGTGAGTAAATTGCAATTAGTTTGGTAAATTACTACTAATGAATTGATATAATTTTATTGTTTAAAATCTTGCATTTACATTAATATCAAACTTTTTTCTTTTCTAGTGGTGTATTGAGCTTATTAAACAATACACTTGGACCTTAGTATAACTAAAATGAATTGTATTTATATAACCATAACTATTGCATTTCATAAAATAAAAATAGTTTAAAAAATAGATTTGTCTTTTTTCACTAGATTTGTTATTTTCACTAAAAGTATAAATAAGAATACCAAATGTTGTCAATATAACAATATTATTGTTATTAAAAATAAATAAATAAATATTTTGATCTTTGAAATTAAAATTTACCTTAATTTTTGTACACATTTTAAATTCAATAATAAAATTTAAATTATTTACGAATAGTTAAGTTATACAGGCTTATGGCACGAGGTTTTAGTTTTAATCATCATCTTTAGCGCCTGGTAATACCCATCATTTATTGATCCGTCGATGGTCGTCGAATGTTCTGATAAGTCGGAACCGCAAAATGTTTTATTAATGCTGATCAAGAATGAATCTATTCTCTGATCACAAGATAATTGAAAAGGGAAGTGTTATAATGAAAAACACCGAATGTTAACTAATCAGAAAAAGTACTAAAACAGGAAAGCAAGTTCATGGACGTAAATCTTAGCGCAATAACATATGAGGTTTACTATAAGCAAGTAATTGGCTTTTTTATTTGTCAGTCGTTGTTTAACAAGTTGATTCTTATTAATCGAGAATATTTAACTCGTGTTCCTATTAAAGCATAATGACTGCGCCTCCGTCAACTTTATAATGTGTCGCAATCTAAATTATCACTTTATTTAAATATCATGACACGTGAAGATAATGAATATGCTAAAAACTTAAACATTACAAAAGGAAGTTTTCAAAATCTACTTTACCATTACCAAATCATGATTGATTTATATTAGATGGATGGTTTTAAAATGTAATAAATAATAAGTTAAGTTTTTGAAATATGGAGTTGAATTATTAAAATTTACAATTAAAGAACATAATTTAGAATTAATTGATGATATTTATAAAAAATGTATGACTAGGACCCAGAAATATATATATAGGGGTCAGGTGATGAAAAAAATTTTTTACTATGAGCTGTACGCATTTTTTCAGGGCCGGAATTATGATAATGTCAGTCGGTTACTATAATGGGAAATAAAATTCTGACTGAAATTATCAAAAATTATCTAAAAAAGGAAAGATTTTCATGAGTTTTTTAGTTCACGCAAACTCAAACCTGACCCTTTTATATATATTTCTGGGTCCTGTATGACTTATTGTAAAGAGAATTTAATGAACAATAAGTCATTTTTAAGCATTATCACTTCCGCAATGCCATTACTAGATGAATATTATCCAGAATATATTCTAAAATATTCATCAGAAACGTATATGATCATAGATTCTCCTTTTTATAGTATAGAGCATCAAAATAAAAATTTCCATCTTTATTCTTTTTTTCAATCTCCTCAAATAGCTAAATCTTTTTTATGGACAAAATACCATTATAAATTAGATAATTATGATTCAGAAATATTGTTTAATATATTGCTTATTATACAAGCTTTAATAATACTTTTAACTTTACCCCTTTATTTGGCTACATTTTATATTTTATCAAAATACAATTTTATTAATAATATATACACTTCAGATGCATTTTCTTATGTTTATTTATTCAGTTTGTAATTTAAATAATTCTTTTTTATATGGCTTATCCAAATATTAAATATCACTTAGAATTATTTAAACACTAATGTTAGAGAAATGAATATTTTAAAAATTCTTAGTTCATAATTTAAATAAATCTTGATTTTTCTTAACTTATCCAATTATTAAATATAAATTATCAAAATGATGCATATAAGTATAAAACCATCTCCAATTTGCGAAATCAAAATAAACAATGTAAAAATTTTTTATATTCATCTTCAAGACAGTGTTGATGACATTAAAGTAATTAGCTCCATAATTTCTAAATTAAATGAAAGCTTTTTTTTGATAATGACTAAATCTCATAGGTTAATTCCATGGGTTGATTTTGAATATACATATTTTTTTTGAGTAGCCACCATAAATATTTAATATATCAACGTGATCCAATTTCATTATTTGAATTTAGTTATTTTTCTTAAAAAAATCATTGTATATCATAAAAATTATATATATAAGTATAATATAATTATGTGTAATGCAATTATTAACTTCGTCAATGCATTTTACAAAAGATGTTATTAATTAATAATATTAATAATGAAAATATTACCTTTTCAAATCGACCATTATTTAATTACATTAATATTTCTCCCCAAGTACCATCACGTTTTATCAAGAATATGATAGAAACACTAATTAAAAAGGAAGATAAATATGGTTTATATAAAAGAAATTTACTAGATTATAAGTTATTTATATATATATATATATATATATATATANTATATATATATATATATATATATATATATATATCAGTAATTGTAAAGATATCAAGTATATTTATTTATTTGAATACAACACAACATTTATATCAATATCCGGGTGCATTAACTTGTTTTTCTCAGATCTGTGTCTTAACAATTAATATTCTTAATGTATCTTCAACATTATTATTTGGAATGGCAAAAATTTGTAAAAATGTTGAGGATCTAACAATACTATATTGTGATGGAGATATTCCAGGATTAAATAGATTTATTGATGTTCAAACAAAATTGAAATCATTAAGATTAGAATTAATAATGTAAAAAAGCAATATAAAGAATTAAGTGACGTGATAGGAAGAAAAGCCATTACACTTCAAGAAGTTGAAATAAGTTTAACTGACCTAATTTTTTTTCCATTATTAATAAATCTACGATGTTTAAGACTTCATAACAGTGAAATACTTTATGATGGGAGTGTAGAAATGAAAGAATGGGAAAAATATTTATCAATTTCTTCTTTCCCAAATCTTCAACATCTTGAAACTACATATTTACCATTTTATAATGATTATATGTTAATTGAAAAATCTAATGGTAGGATTTTAGAAATCAATATAGCATCTCAAGAACCAGATTATATTCATACCAAAAAATTAATTAATAGTGTTGTTAAATATTGCCCAGATCTTGAGTGATTAACTATAGAAATTGAATTTGAAAATTTGGATGATATTAAAGAATTTTTTTTTAAATTGTAATCAATTAAGAATGATAAATCTCTCATTATATAATGAAAATAACCAAAAACTTTATGCAAAATTTATTTTAGTGAAGAATGGATTTTTTACTATTAATGGATCAAAATCTTTTTTTGAAAATTGGAAAAATTGGAACATTGAGACTGTATTTGCATTTTATAAAGTTCTACTTACAGATGAACATAATAAAGTATTATTAGCAATTTCCAATTTTATTGTAATTATGACTTAATTATCTTAATTGGAAGAAAAAAAAAAATTCATTACTTTTACAAAAAAAAAAAATACTAAATTAATTTTCGTTTTCAGATTAACTAGTACTGATACTGAAAAAAATAATGAATCCCTAAAATTTCTGCCTTTAAATGTACTGTACATATACTAAGGCGAAATTGCCGAAACTTATCGATATTGGTGAAACCTCTTAATGACCACTTCACTGCTGGTATACTTCTAATCAAAAATTTTGACGTTCCAATGTATATTCTTTACCTGGAGGAATATTATCAAAGTATATTACCGGTATTCTTAAGAGAATATATTATTGACTCTAAATGTAATTTATTTGCTTTGCTTAATTACGGTGTGATACATGACGAATTTGCGTAATATTAAAACATCAGACTATCACTGCGGTGAACAACATAGTTAGAAAAATTCTTAAAAGAAATAACTTTAATAATAAATTATTTCATATTTAAATTATGTAATAGTTTTCATATTTAACAAATTAATAAAAAATTCAATTATTACTAATTATTCTTTGAAATTTTTCTCTAACGTCTTACATTTGATAACTGATTAACGCGTTAAGTATGACTCCATGTTCTTATATTTTTTTTTATTTTTAATATAAATTTTGGTACATTGTTTCTCTTAGCATAATTTCGACGAGGGAGAGTTTTTTTTTTTTTATGATCATTTAAATCTAAATTAAATTATTATTTATAAAATGATAAAAAATTGATTATTAAGATTTAATACTATTATAAAATAATAAAATAAAAACTGTTACAATAAAATATATAAACATTAATTATGTTAGCAACGAATTATTGAATCACTATTGAATCCCGTGATTTTATATGAAGTCATATGACATAAATTAGATAGTTTGATAGTCAAAAATTTAGACGTAGTATAAGTACTTTAATATGTCTTAGTCAACTATAATAGATGTTAATAACAATAATAAAAATTTCTATTATTTCTATTGTATATTTAATTAAATCTCCTAAACAGATATGAGGAGTTAAAAATTAAACAGATATCAATTAGACTCTGACAAAAGTAGAAATTAAACAGGTATCGGTGATTAGATATTGATCTGGAAAAATAGATGATATGATTGATATCTGTTTAACAGTTATCGGTAATTAAATATTAATCTGAAAAATAGAGATTAAATAGAACCAATTGTCGGTAATTAAAGATTAATCTGAAAAATAGAGATTAAATTTAATTAGACACTGATCCGAAATATAAAAAAGTAAAAATTAAACAGATGGAAACCGGATATAGCATACTTACATCTTAAAAAATATGTATCTTCACTTGTTAACATTTTTGTATAAATAAAAGGTATTTAAAGCAATAAAAAGTAATTTTTTTTTTCGTCAATTATTTTCATATTTTTTTATCTCAAAAGAATATGTCTAGTGAAAAGTTCTTGAGACATCAACTCATTTCTTACTCAAGGGAAAAGAAAAATAAGTCATATCGCAGTTTTCTCCTTCATTACAGAAAAGAAATCAGCGAATATTCTTTGTATACCTCAGTAATGTCTTGGAGAGATCTCGACAATACCTGGTCCCAGTTCTTGTTGTTAGAGACCAAGAGGTTGTTAAATGAAAACAACTTTGATACATTAGAATATAAGGTGCGTCTTTTTGTTTTGCAATGAGAGGGTAACTCCTGGTCGAGTCCATCGTGTCGTTGCTCAGGAGAATTACTGTGCTGGGATTGCTGGTAACCACCCCAGCTTGCACTGTACAGGCGTCCTCATATTGTCGTTGATAAAAGTCTATTAATCTTGGATGAGAGATTGGTCATGTACCTTCTTTTATCACTAAATAAGATAGCGCATTCTGCTAATATTAGCTTCCTTTATTAGGTTAGAATAGAACGACGTATGGTCGAAATTGCTTTTTAGTGGAGAGTCATTGAAAAATTGATTTATAAACTGATTTAACTCAGTGAGTGATTTACGGGAAATGGGATAATAAAAAACAAAGTTTGGAAAGAACATTTCAACGCGTAGAAGTAGCTCTGAAGAGTATAAACAATTCAAAAAAATGTTACATTGGAGTTTATAATTTATATAACCACTAATTCATTTCTAAAATTATTAATAAAAAAAAAGGAATTTTCCGAATAACTAAATTGGGTTAAAACCGCTAAGCGTTAAGTGACGAAATATGATGGCGGATAAAAATACGATTATTTTTGACGTATTAAGTATGATGTATCAATCCAAACTAATTCAATTTAAAATAAAAAATTATCATATTTCCTTTACAATTATAAACGTATGATATTCAAGTAAGTACATTATTTACAAATCCTTCAATAATAAGTAATCATTAAAATGTCCCGAAAATAGAAGTGATAATACTTTAAAATTTATTCCGAAATTTAGGAAACTGCGATAATGCAATTAATGGTATAAAGAGCAAAAGAAATATCTTTATAAATCACTTCTAATAAATATTGATCAATCGAATTTTAGAAGAAAATGGAAGATATTGATTCAATTAATGAAATAATTAGAATTTAAAGAATTCATTATCTATAAGTCGGAATCAATCTATTGTAGCATTAAAACATGTCGCTACAGGAATTTATTTCAAATTTACGTTAAACTAATTTTCAATTAATAGGTTTATTTTTTATGTTAACAACATAATTTATTTAATTAAATTTTTGTATAATTTAAAAATTAAAAAAACTTGGGTTTTTGTAGGAAACTCAGATCTTTATCCAAAATCTTTATGGAAAATTCAGGTTAATGAAGAATTAGCTACTTAAACTGATACTTCTATAACTATATAACATGTCAAATCCGGAATATATTCTTATCGGAGTTGATCTTTATGATTATTACGAATCTCTTAAACATATGAAAGAAAGGTAACAAAGTATTTAGTATTACATATTGAAGTTACAAAAATGAATTAATATTTTTTTATTATTTTTAGTAGGTTGTGGACTATTGGAAACGATATTTTTCAAAGAAGTGATTTGTCATAACGAAAGATTTTGTGTAAATGATGAAGTAAGTAAATTACAATTAGTAAATTGTTATTAGTAAATTGGTTTATTTTATCGTTTAAAATATTTTATTAATACGTGATGTATTGAGCTCATTAAACGTTTTATTTGGATCGTAGATTAGATTATGATTGGTTCTTTATAGAAATTTGTAATTTAGATTTATTTCAACTTTAATTTCATTGTTAATTCATTGATTTTAAAGTTTCGTTTAAATAAAAAGATTTTTGGCTATCGCCTATCAGCACATCACATGATAATTCTTTATTTCTCGTATTACAAAATAAATAAAATAACATAAAAATAAAATAGCGATTAGCGGCCAATAAGAAAAAAAGATTCATTGGGCGTAACTTTGGCGTATTAATAATGATAAACTTTTCTAAATTCGGCAAGTATCTTGCAAGTATGACGAGTTAGTATTATGGGATCATCAACATAAATTTAAATTTCGTAACCGAAGTGTAATTTTCTAAAAAAAAAATGGGTATTCCAAAATATGATGGAAATATTCACCCAAATGAATGGATTATTGATATACAAAAATATTTCAAACTTAAAAAAATCGATGATGTTGATGGTTTGGAAATTGCTATATTATCTGTAGATCCTACTATCTCACTTCCAACCGAGGTTGATAGTTTTGGGAAACTTTGTAACGTACTTAAAGAGGATAGTTCTTTTACAATATTTAAAAATACAAATGAAAAAATGTTAGACTCATTAAAATATATTCCTGAAAATAAAGGTGGTAATACTTCAAAATTTACTTCACAATTTAAGAAGTTATGTTATAATGCAGAAATTAATGATATAGAAGAACAAAAGAAGTATCTTTATAATTCGCTTCCGCTGTATTTTGATTCTATATCAATTGAATTTTATAAGAAAATGGAAAATGTTGATTCAATCAATAAATTAATTAAAGAATTTGAAGATTTTGCTGTATATTTATCAAAATTAATCGTGAACGAATCTATCGTAGCTTTAAAACATGTTGCTACAGGAAAATATTTAAGTTCAATTAATAATTTAAGTTATAATACTGGAAGTTCTAGTCAATTGGTATATTTACTTTTACTTTATTAGAATCGTCATTTTTATAAAGCTAATTTCTTTTTCTTATTTTTAAATACTTTAGGTTTTTGCAGCAGAAAATTCAAAATTTAGTCCAAATTCTTTATGGAGAATTAAATTTAATAATAATGAATTAGCTACTTATGGAAGTACTTACATAACTTTACAACATGTTAGATCCAATAAGTTTCTTGTAATAAATTATGGTAAGCTTACCTATTATTACAGTGGTATTAATTCTGAATATTGTTATCACAAATCTCCGTCAGCTAACCACACAGAAGGTAATATCAAATATTTTTGTATTTTATTTATTAAATATAATGATTAATCAATGTTTGTTGTTTCAGTGAGCTGTGATAATATTACAAATCATAGCTATTGGGTTAAGGATTGGGAGTTTAACCATGCTAAAATAGGAAATCATCAAGGTTTTTTAAAATCGAATGATATTATTAATCTACGCATTAAGAAATTCTATGATAATAATGGTGCTCGTTGTCAAGATGGTCAATATGAATTTTTACGTAGTCATGATATTCAATTTACAGTTGGAAACGATACCTTTCAAGAAATTGTTTGTCATAATGAAAGATTAGGAGGGAATGATGAAGTAAGTAAATTCAAATTAGGTAAATTGATTTTATTATAGTATTAATATTAAAAATTTCTTTCTTTTTTAGTGGTGTATTGAGCTCATTAAGCAACATACTTGGACCTTAATATAGATTATTACTTTTTTATTTTTCAGTTATTACAAATTTACCTCAATTACTATAGTACGCATCTTAAATTCAATTGATAAAAAAATATAGTGGTTAATTTAAATCATTGAAAAATACTTAATTTACGAATAGATAGTTATATAAGCCAGTTTTAAAGTTTTTAAATGACTGATAAAGCGAGGTTTTAGCCATCTTTTTTTAGCTTCTGCTGATAGTGTCAGGTATTCATTCTATTTCCGTAACATGAGATAGTAATTATTATCAAAAACAAAGAAATAAAAACAAAGAAATATAATGAAAGATATCGAATGTTAACTAATCAGAAAAGAGGAAATCCAAGTTTATAAGTGTAAATTTTGCCACAATAACAAATGAAGTTTATTCGAAGTATTTAATATGATAATATGGAATATTTCATGCCTAATAACGGTTATACACTGATAGCCTCACACGATCATGATAAATTAAACAACCATAACTTTGCTGATTTTTAATTGCATTTTTAGAATTAAATTATCAATTTCTTCATTTTCAGTGGTCCAATTTATAAGCAATTTTTTTTAAACATTTCATGTAACATGATTTATCAATGTAAAGCCAACTTGAGAAATTTAAAAGTATTAATTAATTCTGTATATATCTGTAAAATCGTAATCTCTATGGTTTGTAATGTACATACTACATATCGACAATAAATCTGAATTTTCACATGACAAATTTCTCGTATGCCGCACATTTTCATTTCAAAATTTCTATCAAAAAATGGATTATCCATAATATGATGGAAATACTCATCCAGATAAATGGATAAATGATATTTTAAAGTATTTTGAATTTAAACAAATACTTAATATCAATAATTATTACTTGCAAAGTGCAAAAAAATATATCCTTTACAATATTTAAAAAATACAAATAAAAAGAATATTACAATCATTTAAATACTGTATATTCCAGAAAGAAAAAACGCCAATACGTCAAAATTTGTTTCAGCTTTGCAAATTATGTTATATCTTCGTTTGTAGACCCTCGTAAGCATATTTACCTGCTTACAGTAAATTCCGAATTTTCAGTTATCATCTAAAAATTTAACTTGTGATACAAACCATATCAAATTATACATTTTTGAATAGCTTTAAATTTTGAACTTTTCACATAAAAAATTTTTTTTGCTAAACAGCTATAAATTTATTTATAATTTTTAAATTTTTTAAATTTTTCTTTAGATCTTTCAAATTTAATTTTATTAGTACAATGTTTATATAGAGTAAAACTTTAACAAAAATTCGAATCACATGATTTAAACAAATTGATAATCATTATTCACAAAAAAATTTTAATGCAGCATTATGTCAATTTTACTGCGTGAACTAAATCCGCCCATATGTGTCCTGTAATAAAACTATAAAGAAACGGAAACAGTTGTAAGTCCGGAGGAAAAAAGATAAAACTCTGATTTGCGATTTCATTGGATGACGTCACGTGAGGGGACGGAGAGAGAAACTCACGTGATCGATCATTTTTCATAATGTGTAGACACATATAGTCCTTCGCTTCGCTCCGGACAATAAATTTAATAAAATTTTGATCTGTCCTATTTATAGTTGTTTATATGTCATGGTCTTTGATCAAAAAAAGTTTGTGATCAATAATTTAAAATAATTTCAAGCTTTTTTTTTGGCATTAAATAATCATTTTATTATGTTTTAATTATATGTATAAATTGACAATTGATTTGTACCCAATTAAATAACAAGCATAATTTGCTATTTTGATTATTAATTTTTATAATTTTAAATACTATGGTAATTTGGTAATTGAAAAATGATTAAGTTGGGTTAACTGAGAATTTATTTAATAGGATAGTTACTATATAAAGATTTTATTAGATTTATTATAGAAAGAAATTTTTTTTATATTTATATTATACGCTTTAATAATTACTATAAAATGATTTTATACTATAAAGATTCTATTCTAATTTTTGAAAGTTTTTTTTTTTTTAAAAAAAAAAGTTTTAAAATTTATGTTTATTGAAATAAGTAAAAAAAAAAGTAAAACTATTGCAATTTTCAACGGTTAATAAAATTCGATGTCGATCATGTAACAAAATAATTATTTTCAGTACTTTAACTTTTTTTTTAAAGCATCATAAGGAGTAAAATAGTATTTATATTTAAAAATATCAAAATACGAAAGTTTTGATATTTAACAATGAAAACTTGAATAATAATATACCTTCTTATTATTTGATGAGAAATTTTATATAATTGGTCCTGGTCTTCAAATCCTGGACCGAAGACCGATCGGTTCTTCTAGGACCTGATCCAACCGATCCAATCCTATCTACTAATGAAAAAAAAAGTCAGCAGTACAAAAAATGAATATAACCAAAAAAAAAATCCAATTCAATATTAAAAAAAGGAAAACCGGCGTAAAACTTTTGGTGTCGCAATATCATTGTATAACATGAACAAGTTAACATTAAACATGGCAGGGAGCTATAGTCATAGTATAATTAGAACTGTAATAATTCTGACTTTTTTTTTAATTAAGTTGGTTTATACTACCATACAGTATCATAATTATTATGATAAATAGTTTTTAAGATTTAAAGAGAATTTCTAAATTTTAACTGGTGGAAAAATTACTGGTAGATCATGTGATTGTGTATTAAATATTCATGTGATTTATTATGATGATGCAATTTCATTTGGCTCGCTTCGCTCGCCGGGCTTTTCTAGCCAAACCATAACTTTCACTTTATTTGCAAAATTTTTGATTATATTTAACAT